CCGACGAGACCTGGGAGGGTGACCCAGAGGCCGAAAAGGCCAACTTCGTCCAGGAGGAGCTGTACGTGCACGGCAAGGTGTGTATCGTCGACGATCGCACGATCATTTGCGGCAGCGCCAACATCAACGATCGGGTAAGTAGACCACCAGCGCCTCATCCCTCGTCACATGTGACGCATTGAGTTCTATTTTTCTGGTCTGTATCATCAGCTGATATTAAATGCTCCCCACAGTCCCAGCTTGGCTCGCACGATAGTGAACTGGCCATCGTAATGGAAGACCAAGACTTAATCGACAGTCAAATGAACGGACAGCCGTACCGCGCATCCCGATTGGCCGCAACGCTCCGGCGGCAACTGTGGCGGGAACACCTTGGCCTACTGCGGGCGCAAGAATACGACGGCACGGGTGACCCGAACGCGCAGCCACCCGATGAGTCTCTTAACAAGATCGATGAGGGGCCGGAGAACGAGTTCGTGATGGATCCACTCAGCGATGGGGTCTGGAACACCTGGACATCACAGGCGACCGGGAACACCGAGACGTATCGGATGCTGTTCCGGGCGGACCCTGACGATCATATCAAGACTTTTGAGGACTATGACAATTTCCGTCCACGGGGCACCCACAAGGAAGGACATCTGTTCGATCCGTTCATGCCGGCCAAGGATGTGCGCGAGAAGCTGGATCTCATCAAGGGTCACCTGGTTTGGTTGCCATTGGATTTCCTGCGCGACGCTGAAATGGCGGAGCCTGGGTTGGCTGTGAATCAGATTACAGAGGTGAGATTGATTGGGGTTTCTTATTTTTGCTATATTTACGAGGTTACTAATTGCTCGATAGAGTATCTACACCTAAGTCTACTGAAGGGGTGGGGGAGATCCGCATATTTGCCCTGTTCACATAATCCGATCTGTTCTTATTTTAGTATTAAGGAATAAATGCAAATTATATCCATTAGTCTCTACTCCGTACTCCGTACAATAAAAAGAAAGATGAAGCAATGTAACGTAGGGAAACATGTCCGATAACGGAGTACACAGTTCGTACATCCCCTCCAAGACCTTCAGAAGCCCTAAACAGACGGTACTTTTGCAAAAACCAAATCTCCCCAAGGTCCGTAGTGGAGAAAGAATAGAGTTGTCCCAACCCCCTGGGAATCCTCTATTTCCACTTTATTTATTTTTATTTTTATTCTTATTGTATTTGGGATTATTTGGGATCTTCCGGGACTACTCCGTACCTTTGCTTTTTTGCTTCGGGTTCGCTGAACCGCACTTCCGCCAAAAGAGATACATCTCATTGTCATTTAAATGGCGATCGGAAAAAGATTCCTCAGAAAAGGAATGGACTAGCTTGATTCTTGGCAATGAATATTAGGTACTTTAGGTACTTTTGGTACTTGTAGTAATTTGAGTAGGGAATACGAAGTACGGGGTACTTTTATCACTTTTATCACTTTTATCACCTTTAGTACGGAATATATTCTCTCTCTCTTTTTGGAATTTTCACCTGAGGCGTAGCTGAACCGAGACCGAGACCGAGACCGACACTTTGAGCATGACTTTTTAGTAGGATTGGGGGGGGGAAGATCAGAGCCCTACATATGTACATTCAGATAGGGTTCACTACATAGTACATGCTGTAACTAGCCCAACACAGTCTCCCCCAGGATGCGGGAGGGTGGCCATGTTAGGTGGGGTGCATAATTGTAGCATAAACGACTTGATATAACAGTCCATAAAATAGAATGTCACCTGGGCAAGATTGTCAAATTATGTCAAATAATGTCACATTTTTCCCTCAGGAAATCTAGATTGAGAAACCGTAGAATACAAATTGGCAGGATAAAACAGAGTAAAAAAACAATAGAGAAAGAAAAAAAAAAAAAAGAAAGGTCTAAGTATAACTCCTCCGGATGCGAGATGCAGTGCATCAAAAACTTTTGGGGACTTTTTGGAACACATCAAAATGCATAAACACACGCCAAACGAGGCCACGAAGAAAGTGAAAAGGAAAACCCAGCCCCAAGGGGTTGGGTGGGAAGTACCCTTGCACAGGGTTCATGCAGGGTAGATCAGGGTAGATCAGTTCTGTAAATGCGAGAAAGCAAATGCAGAGGTCTCTATGAGGAAGTTAGCCTTTTGCAAGGAGCGAATCTCAAACCATAGAGTTCACAAGGGATCTTACCGTGCTTCCATCTATCCCTTATTGGTGTGGCAAGCATTGCACCGACAATGACCACAAATCTTGCAGCGCCAAATGGCCACAAAGGGTCCCGAGTTACAGTCGGAGCAGCGCCAAGTCAGAATGTTGCCATTGGTAGCCTGGACAATGGCGAAGACGTGACCGGAGCATTGGTTGGCCATTTTGATCAATTGACTTGGGAAAAGAAGAGCTATTTTATAGTTAGGATGTGGTTCCTTTAATGTTCACCACTCCCGAGACTCACATATTAAACCAAACCCGAGGGACTGGAAGCTGGTGTCGATCACTTGGAGAAGCGGAGAAGGGTTCCAAGTACTTGGATTAAGGAAACCAATAGGATATAGGAAGAAGGAGAATGGAGTGAAAAGGGTTTGGAGAGCAAGTTTGCAAAGGGAACCTTGAAAGTCAATCGAGAAGATGAAGTGAAGATGAGACTCGAAAACCCGGGCAACTCAATCATTATATACTTCTCCTCTGAAGACAACGGTGAGAAGGGAATTGTAGATACAGCCAGTCCAGTCAACTCAAGAACTGAAAAATGCACACATCCGATGACGCATGTAACCTGATTGTTTGAATTCCTCAAGAGAGAAAAAGGAAAAAAAAAGGGAAGGGAAAAAGAAAATCCAAATCCAAAAACAAGAACAAAAGTAGAATTAAAAGAATAAGTAAAGAAATAAAAAGAGAAATGTGTTTACGTATGAGAGAAATCCCAATAGATAGATGTACCGAAATCGTATCTTGCATAGAAACTTTGGTGAGACTAGGTTGATCCTAGTCTAACAAAGAGACAATAGAGTCTTTGATAGAGATCATGGAGATCGGAGAGACATGATTGGAAGTTTCAACGTAAGAGGACGATTCCGAGAAAGCTGGGGGGAACCGGAAGAGACCCGAATAAATTATTAGTTTCAATTGCTTTTTTTTTCTTTTCTTTTTTTATTATTTTAGTCTTGGGTTAATGTAGCGGATTGGGAATATTAAAGGGGGGGAAGATAGGAAATTAACTTAATTGGAGGTTAAGAAGTCCCAGGAAATCCCAGAAATAGGACTAAAGTGATAGGTATAATCCTATAACCCGACTAGAATGAGAAGTGGAGCTGAATATAGGACCCGAGACATGTCCTGTCCCGACGAGCTGGATTAAACTGAGATTCGGAGGTTTCGATGTAGTTAACGGTGGAGTATAGTACTTTTTGTTTCTTATTTTTCTCTTTCGATCGGACCTTTGCATCCCAGTAACCCGGTTCCGATCGAGTGCATATTATAATAATTATATACGAAGTACTCCGCACGGAGTACGGAGTATACGTAGTAGGATATCCCGTTACCATGTATATGATCCACGGAATGAAGCATAATATCCTCATATATCCTGTATCCTATGGTATATATTTATTATATCCTCTTTTGTATACATTTTCCTTATTCCTTTGGAAGAAAACCTCCCCCCCCTGAAAGTCCCAATATCAACTTTTGATACATCAACTTCGCCAGACGCTTAGACCGAAGAGAGAGATCCACATAATGCTCCTCTGGTCATTTGTACTATTTCAGATTTCAGCTATTTCAGTTTCAGTTTCAGTTTGAGAACAATTGCAACCAATTCAACTATTTACCTCTCAGCTGGTCACATCAAGTGACAAATTCAGTTGGGATATACCCCCCGGCATTAGTGCCGGTTTGGCGCTTGCATGGCCCAATTGCTTATTGAATAGCCGCAAGGCCCTGAAAATCAAAAAAGAAAATCCACCAAAAAAGAAAAGAAAGAAAATCAAAAACTACAGAAAATGGAATTGTTTGAGTCTTTCGTTTAGGGTGATCTCTGTCACATCCGTAAATCCACATGTTTGTTTGACAATTCTACCACAGTCTAGCCAAGCCCTTTCTCCAGCGACTGGATGGGGCAGTTCCAGTTCTTTTTCTCATTGTACAAGAGTACAAGAGTACAAGAGTATGAGGTGAGTACAGAGTACCAAAAAGCACCGAGAGCAAAGCCCAATTGGGGTGAGGGTGACACAACGGTAGGTTTCTCCCTACGTAGGGTCGAGTCCTCTCTGCAACTATCAACCTAAAAGGGGTATTCAAACTATACCAAAGGGGCATGGACAGGGATTCAACGGAAAAAGACTACATTTCCGAGGGGTTTGCAAGGAATGCTTGAGTTGACCTTAGGTCCATCTGTGTCACCTGAAGATTCCAAACCGGCCCAGCCATAGCCGATCGAGATCTGTTCGGGAGATGAGATGGCTATACTTAGCGACTCTAGGAACCAATTGATCACGCCAAGTGACCTAGAACATTGGGAAAAAGGTGGGAACTCAGCTCCAACTGTCTCACGGTCGATCAATGGAAACCTGCACACCGACACCCCCATATTGGAAGCGTCTACGGAGTACTCCGTAGATCCCCCGACTCTCGTGATGGACACACTCTGGGCTCGACGATCACCAGACCATGACCAAATCACAAACCGGCTTCCAGAATCATTCACGGTCAACCGCATCGGTGCGACGGAAATGAATTCAACATGACAAGAAAATCGATATCGTTAGAAAGGAAATCCTCGGCACTGCTAGATGTCTACTGTCTCTACCTACGGAGTACGCAGTACCGGGAAGTTTGCTTGCATCATCGAAGAGGGAAATGTCAAATGTGTAGATTATTGTTTGCTATTCAAATTACTTTATGTTCGAGATCGCCTCTTACACCACTTCCACAACCACAAGGCCAATCATTCCGAAGAACTGAGAAAGGGGTGACGTCTCCATGCTGTAGACTCCGAAGAGAACACACAACATGAAGTAAGAAAACAAGATCCAATTTAATCTGCCAACGCTCCGTTAAGAACACCTTGTGGAAAACGAGATGCTCCTGCAGAACCCAGAGTGGACTGCATCGCTGGTTTGAGGGGTCGTGATGTGATCACTTTACGAGGCCGAGAACGGCAGAGTGGCAACGGGGAGGACAGCCGGGGAACAAGGAAGGGGGAAAGCTCCAGAACGGGTCGTTCATTTGATAGGAAATAGGTATCATGTCATCAACGGTTGCAGGGGAACCTGCACATCAGTAAGCAAAAACGCCCTAGAGAAAGTATCTAGGTCTCTCTTTGCTTGGTTTCGTTATTTTGTTTTCCTCGTTACTGCCATATGCCTCATCAGTCGTTAAGGTGGAAGAGAGCCGAGACGCTGCTCGTTGTTAGTAGATGGTCACACGACACCAGGGTCGGTGAAAACAAACCTTTCGCCATAATGGTGCCTCCGGATGCTCTCTGCCAATAGACTCGATACGTCAATGACAATCAACTTTTTGGATCTCCGCAACATCGACGGTGAGATCGGGAAAGTGTTGGTCACGACAATGTGGTCGATTGAGCGACAAGCTTCCATCTGATCCAAGGAGTTCTCCCCGAACAATCCATGGGTGGCAATACAGTAAACCTTGCTGGCCCCACCGCGCTTGACGACAGTCTCTGCAGCCGCGATCCACGATCCGCTCTTGTCAATCATATCATCGACAAGGAAGACAGACCGATCACGCACCTCACCCACCAGCGTGATGGTCCTTTCATCGACATGGCCGCCACAGACACTAGCTTCGTCGTCAGACTCCACTGCATCAAATGAGCCACCAAGCGCATGATCAGGAGGCTGCGATGAGACGTTGGAGATCATGGAGTTAATCATAGAATCAGGAATAGCCTCTGTGTTGTCATGGCTGCTACCACCTCCCGGTGTGGTGCCACCAGACTGTGACTCTTCGTTGATATGATAATCATCATCAACCAATTGACCTTGGACCAGGCGACCGGTGATCACATCCCGCACACGCACGTCCGTGTATTCGTATGCTGCTTCCAGCTCCGATGGGCGGCGAGCCGCAGGTGGGGTTTCAGGGCGCAGAAGATACCGCTCAGGAGGGGGGGTGACTGGCTCTGGCTCTTCCGGAATGGGAGGTGTAGCAGGTGTCCTGTTAGAGCTATGCATATGAAGTTCGAAAGGCCGTGCTTCCTTGGTTGAGATGGGATCTTCATCAACGGCGTCGAAGAAGACCGTGCTATCGGACATAGTGGCCACAGGGACCTTCGGACGCCGACGATCCGTCGTCACGATACCGAAGTTGAGCTTCAAAGTATCAGCCAGCGAGGTGACTCGCTTGGTTCCGCCAGCATTCTTGCTAACTACCACGGCGTCTTTCCAGCCGGTAACATTCATCCGGAGCCAGCGGGCAATGAAGGGTTCGGCGAAGAGGTTGTCGACCGGCTTTCCGAAGAATCCTTGCATCTGGGATGCCTAGGAGCCCATCAATATCCATATTACAAAACTCAACATCGCATAGAAACATACGTGCAGGTCCATGGTGATCACATGGTCCACGCCAGCGATCGTGAGGAGATTGGCAAGCATGCGGGCCGTGATGGCACCACGATGACTCTTCTTCTTGGATTGGCGCGAGTATGGGAAATATCTCATTTGAGAGTCAGCATTGTCTGTGTTTTGAGTCAAACAGGACGGGCAGCATACGGCATGACCGCTAGAGAAACGAGTTAGTGGGGTAAGCTTTTGTATCTGGAGTGATCGGCAACATACCTGTAATGGACTTCGCTGAGCCACCCTTGCACGCTGAGATCATGATCAGGAGCTCCATAACACTATCGTTAATCTTCTCGCTACCGCTTTGAATGATGTAAACATCCTGGTTCCGCACCGAGGTACCGATATTGACACTGGTCTCGCCATTGGCAAATTTTCCTAGGTTAGCTTTGGCAGGCACAGTGCCTAAACGCTCGCAGATAGTATCTGCGAGGCCGGGGTGGGAATTCCCCGAAAATATCTGGACGCCCCGCATGATTTAAGAAAAAGACATGAGTGACGTGAAAGGAAGAGAAAAAAGAAAAAGAAGAAAAAAAGTTCGGAAGGGAAAAGCTCGGGAAGACTGCGGGGATGGATTGTGTCGCCCACCGTACAAGTTTTCTTTATCGGGGGGCCGATAAACGGGGGGGAAGAAGTTGCATCATTCCTACATCCCACCATGTCAAAGTTCCCAGAAGTACAAGGTGGAGGGTCATTGATCATCGCTTGGCAAATTAAAGACAAGCATGTACTAGTCGTAGGTGGTGGAGAGGTACGTGATTCACATTGATAATAGCTATATCTCGTTTTCTTTTTTTTTTTTTGAGGCTTGGGACTGATCTAGTTATATATCTTTCCTAGGTTGCTGCTGGACGCATCCTCCACGCCCTCAATGCCGATGCCCGAGTCACTGTGGTTTGTCCAGCCGCTGGACTAAACGAAGAAGTAGCCTTCAGGGTGGCAGAAAAGCAAGTCACACACGTTGATCGAAACTTTGAGCCATCCGATCTCGATAATGTGGACATGGTGCTCTGTGCTATCGACGACCCGGAGGCTTCAACACAGGTGTGGAAACTCTGCAAGGAGAGGCGAATTACTGCCAACATCGCTGATGTCCCGCCTGAATGTGATTTCTATTTTGGGAGTGTTCACCGCGATGGGCCATTGCAGGTCATGGTCAGCACAAATGGGAACGGGCCCAAGCTGGCCAGTATTGTGCGGAAAAAGATCGCGGAGACTTTGCCAGCGAACATGGGGGCAGCTATTGAGAATGTGGGAAAACTCCGGAAGAAGCTTCGGGTGGTTGCACCGAATCCTGACCAAGGCCCCAAGAGAATGAAATGGTGGGTTACAATATCCCGGTTCTTCAGCGACAAGGTGTGAGCTAATTAATGACCATAGGATGTCTGGTGTTTGCGAGACATGGAGCCTCGATGACCTTGTACAGATGACCGAAAAGGACATGGACAGTGTATTATCCTTTTATGAGTCGGGTAAGATCCCAACTTCAGAGGAAGTGCAAAATAAGTAAAAAAGGAACAAATCAAGAAATATTTTATCTTATCAATACAGCAGCTATGCGTCTAAAGTAGAACAAAATGCTCGGACAACACAAGACCCCGAAGAGTCGGGTTATAAAACGCCGAAAATCAAGCCCGCGGCGAGGATATCCAAAAAAATCATGCAGTAACTCAGACCTGGCTATCGCGGCGCGAGGCTTTTTGGGAGACAGAGCTGCGCGGGCTGATAGGGACATCCAGGGGACTGGGCGGAGCAATGCCCAGTCGAACCTCGCCGATCCGGCGCAGCAGAGACTGGAGGGCAACGCGAATCTCCGGGTTGAGATCACGGCTCAGAAGCTCAACTCCGAGCGGGTAAAAGGTCTCAATATGCTTATTAAAGTCATCTTGCGGGAAGTTGGTATATCCATCAATGACATCGACCACCACCGGACGCCAGGCGACGATGTTGCGGTGTTGGGTGTCTTCTTCAAGGCGGACAAAACTGCGAATAATGTCCGCACAAAGTCTAGTGGAATTAGCAATGGACGGGAAGGGGGAGGAAAAAGTAGGGGGAATTAACTTACGGAATGAGTGCAGCCTCGGTCTCTGCGCGGCTGCTCTGTCTTTCCTCTCGCTCGTCGTGATACATTCGGAAAAGAATATGCACGTAGGTGGAGGCACTGCCGCTCTCCTGCTTCAATAGATTAGGAGGTTGCTTCATGAATCCCTGGCGCCAGAGTTGCATCCGCAAGTCTTTATCCTCGTTGAACTTCTTCGCGAACTGGTAACTCTTTTTCAGCAGCCCCATGAGCCGGAGGAGCTCACCACTGGGGATCTGTGCATAGACAGTTTCATTCGAGAAAAGTTCGTGGACAGTTTCAATCATGAGTAGCTGCAGAACGCAGTTCGTGATTATGCGGTTGAAGTAACGACGCCGAGCTGCAGTGACAGCTGCTGGTTGCTGCTGGTCGGACTGAGGGCGATAGTCTTCTAATTCAGCGCGGGCTTCACTTTGGACAGGAGGATCCCCAGTTTCGTGGAGAGAAGATGCGCTTTGGGATCCGTTGGGCTCCAATGAATCAGGCAAATCTGTTGTTGCTACAGCAGCATCTGGAGACTGCGTGAGGTCCCCGTTAACTGTCTCGGCTGGCTTAGATATCGATACAGCAGCCGTGAAAAGTTCATAAGCTGTCGTTTTGCTGAAGAGCTCCACGAAGGCTCCAACAATCTGGGACCAGTGCTCCTGTTTGAATTTTGCAACATTCTGCAAAATCAGCTGTTGTAGGCAGTTGCTGCCAATCCGTGCAATCGTGTCATTTTCTTGACAAATGCATAATGTCAACAGTTCCAAGAATCGGCTCAGCATATACTCCAAAGCATCAAAATAGTGCGTGAACAGGGTAATCATGTTCCGTAGCGCCTGGATCATTGTCGTGGAAAGCCAAACTGAAAGGTCTTCGTGGTTTGGAACTTTAGACATTTCAGACTTAGACTGAAGGACCACGAAAATCGGGCAGAGAAGCTGTCTCCAGAGGACATCCCAAAAGTCCCTGGGGAAATCGCCACCGTGTCGGATGAGCGTATCGAAGAGGTATGTAAGTGCCCGTGAGCGGACCTCGAGATCATCTCCTGTCATAAGTACATCCTGGAATGCAATAAGAATCGGATACCAGAATTGTTCCTCTTGTGATTGACGGGTAAGTTGTTTAGCAAGATTGGTTCCATTGTCCTGGAAGGTGGCCGCCGAGGCACCGCGGTGTGACAGGGGACATTCTGGGGACCGTAGCATTTTGGTGACGGTAGACCTGAGGGTCTCAATTGCCTGCAGCGATTTCTTTTGAAACTTGGAGTTCTTTGAGAATTCAGTCAGGCATACAATGAGATCTGCAAAGGCACCTTGGGTGATCACTATGCCAAATCTAGTATTGTAGACCTGTGTGACATGGTCAAAGGCCATGTTTACGATTCCCTCTGTTTGATGAGTTAGCGAGAGCGACAGAGTAAATTAAGCGGCATGGCTTACCATAGGGTTCCCGTGCTGCGACTGTGAAGACACCAAACATGGTCTTCCATCCCGAACGAATATTGTCGCCACGGGCCTGAATCATCTGAATTAGGCACCGCAGAATCATGTCCTTGACAGCGGCAGTGGTGCTGTTTGCCATCACGTGTTCGAAAGGCTTAAGGAAGTCCTTTTGGAACTTGAAGCCAGGCAACTCCTCGATCTCCATGAAGCGCATTGAAAGTTGCCGGAGCGAATCCAAGGCAAAGAAGACGACCATGGTATTAGAGTGGCAGCCAACTTGATTAAAGTGCTGACCCAAGACGTCCCAGATCTTAGACCATTCAATTCTGACACGAGTCATGTTGTAGTAACTGATCTCGACGAGCTTCTGCAAACTGTATGTTCGGGGCGAATCGGTGTGACCGGAAGATTGAATTTCTTGCCAGCTGACCTCACTCAAGGCCCGAACGAAGTCGATAATGGCCTCATGCGACAAATTGGCAGTATTGGTGAAGATGCGGTCCACGCCACGTATCATATCTGCCGAACGGCTCTCCATGGCAATTTCTGGACGGAAAGCAGTTGGCCCATTCACAGAACGAGGGCGAGCGCGTCGTGTACTTTGCATAGATCTGCGGGGGGTATCCGCTGATGACGGTGCCCTTGAAACATCAGGCAGCGACCCCTCATCAACACCATCACTCAAGAGTTGGAGCCGATCAAGTTGACTGACACATGTCAAAACATCCCGCCACGAGCCCTGCAGGTGGTTGCCCTCGGTAAAGGCGACGTCGAGCAAGGCTTTCAGGGCCTCGACATTTTTGGCCATCATCTCCCTCACGTTTCCAAGGTTAGTGAACTTGGCCAAGGCGGTCACAAATGCCACACGAGGAGTCTCTAGGTCGAAGGCACAGCTGATCCGGATGGACAGTTTGAGTCCTTCCATGCAGAGCCGGATGGTTTGCAGGTTCGATGTGTCCTGCATCGGCGCAGACAGACCAGATAGGAAAGACATCCACGTGACGTTGAACATGGAGCCAACATGACGATCCGATGTTGCGGGAATGAAGTGCGAAAGCGCATCTTTAACTGCTGTCTTGCGTTGGGCTCGAATGAGGGAGCGATAAAGTTGTTCCGTCTTGTTTGCCATTTCCTCAGAAGCCTGTGCGTATTTCTCACCCTGGATGTCTCGTCCAACGGTAGCAAATACCTGTCCGGCTCTGGTGGCAAGGCCAGTGGGAGCGGGGGGTTGAGGGTTGAGGTTGGCAGCATGTTCCTGTTCGGTATATAGCACGATTTCGTTGCTTCCAATCTCCTCATAAATCGCCCCAAGATAGTCGGACGGCAGGTCTTGGCTGTCATTGATCCCGCGGTTGTTCTTGATGAAGTCCTCCTTGGTCATACGGCGGCCCTTCATTTTTGAACTGTGTTGATCTGTGTTAAGTAGAATCACCGAGTACGCAAGCACATATGCGGTGTCAGCGTTGGCGAAGGCATTGGGGTTTTGAGTTGTATACCGTTCGGCAAATTTCAGCATAAACCGATCGATCTTTTGGGCTTCACCAGGCAGGCGGAAATGCTGCAAAAACGAGCGCAGGGATTCAACGAAGCGTCGCTTCGTGAATTCCATCAGATCGACAAAAGCATGCATAATGGCAATGTTTTCCGGCTCTCCCTCACCAAGATACTCCCCCAGTACGGCCTTGTCAATGCGGTCTGTGCGAAGCATGAAGCTGGCAATCTCTTCAGGAGACTCGGATTTGATGAAGCCTTCTTTTAGGAGGGCCTTGATGCCACGCTTGGGCTTGAAATTGAATTGTTGGACGGCATTTGTGAGAGCAATCTTTCGTTGCTTGACTTTTTCAATCTGGTTTGGATCGTCTTCGGGCATAGGTGTGGACCGGCCGGTCCCACTCTCGAAAGACTCAGGATGCGGTGAAACAAGCACGCTTGTGTCCAAGGACTCGCGGGAGTTGTCCATCGATTTAGAGGGGATGGCTGCTTCGGGCTGTTCATCAGTGCGATGTGTGGCCCAGTTGTCCAGTGAGCGCAGTATCGCCACAAGACATTCCAGACCCTGCTGCTTCAACCCGTACTCCGATGGGATGTGAGGCATTGAGGGCGGCGGAGTAGGGATAATGTGGGCACTTGTCAAGGAGGGAGGGAGAGTTCCTCGGTGGTGCCATTCAGAACCAATAGACGTCATTTTTGTGTGCTGTTCTTGGTACTGATGCTGCTGAGAAGATGATGTTACAACCGGCACACTCGAGTACCGGGACAATTGCTCAATGATACTAAGAAGGTTAGTTCATGCCGAATAAGACCAAAAATTCAGTAATACATACTTTTGGAATATATTCTCCAGCGCGGTTCTGTCACAGTCATAGTTGAGATAGATTTCAACCAGAGCGCGTGGATCACCGCCTAGCCTCTCCAGGATCTCCATGAAATACTGCTTTTGGAATGCAGGAGCCCCGCGCTTCTCGAGGATAGCCAGATAAATTTCTTTCAAGAACACTTCGAGTTCCTTTTTCATCATAACCCGCATGTCCTTCAGCATCAGCCAGAAAATTTCACAGCAAACTTTAAAGACGTGAGGAACGGCGCTCGAGCCATTGCGACTTAGACTCAGGCACAAATGGGGCCGTACAGCTAGAAGAAGATTCATTCCATCGACGCTGGATGAGCTGTTCTTGATTGCTGCCAGAGGGGATATGAAGGTGGCGGTGTGGTTATTGATGAGATAGTGGATCAAGTGCAACGAAAGTAGCTTCGACCTCATGTTCTGGGATTTGACATCTTGCTGCTGCTCGTGAGTCAAAACTTTATGGCTCAACTTGCAGAGCGCTCGGAAAACCAAGAAGGCATCCTTGACATAAATCTCGTCCACGTCGTCCTCGGCCGAGCTATCATCGTCTCTCTCCTCGGGAATGCCCGACATCGATCTCGTTGCTGACCGCTTAGCGCGCGTAACTGTAGTCGGCGCGTTGTCGTTGACAGTGGTAACTTCCTTAGGCGACTCGAAACTCTGTAAGGTGAGTTTCTCGCCGGTTGGCTCTTTGGTTACGGGTTGATCGGCCACAGACATGGAAGCTGCCTCCGAGGTTTGGCCCACATCACTCGCCGATGCATCGAGAGTGGAGGATGGCTTTTCCAGCTCTCGCACTCGAAGCTCTTTGAGGTCCATCCGTGTCCGCACTCGATCAAAGACTGTGCTAACCATTTGTGTAAGCGACCCCTGAGCGATCTGCTGGTTTTGACTAGACTTGGAGTAGATAAAGATGTTGTAAATTTGGCGGACGGCTTTCAGGAGACCAGCTCCATGCACCACAATCTTATCGTTCAGGACCGCTGCCAACAGTGATTTGATGATCTGCTGTTGGATTTCAACCGCCGTGGCTTCATTCTCGAAGCAGTCGCAGATCGCATCGATAGCACGCTCAATGAGTGGAGGTTGTTCGCGGGTGGCATTGTTGTCTGTCTCGGCAGATGGGAATGCGAAATAGGAGTATGTGATCAGCTTTCCAATGCAGTCCAATGCAGTTACCTGCAGAGGAATGCTGAGGGCTTTGCTTGCTAGATGCAGAGGACGGAAGATAAGCTCCGGATCGATTGCTTGCCCATCTGGTTGCTTAATATTAGCCAGGGCCACCTGTGTGGCATCCTCTAGCTTTTTGTCCCTCCGGGCGTCCCGCGAAGCAGCGATGTTGTCCAGAGCCGTGACAATAAATACTGTCGAGCTAACCGGGGTAGATCGCTGCGTCATAAACGTAGCAGTTGTTGACCGCGAGTCCGATCGCAGCCTGTTTTCTATCGCATCATTGTCCTCCCGGGGAGGTTCCTGAATCGTGGGCGGACCGTTTGTTTGGGGTTCTTGTTCAGTCTGTTCAGGCTCATCCTTGGGCGGCACGTCTGGTTTTTCTTCATCTTCCTGGACCTCGGCTACTTCCTCGTCGCCCTTCTGGTTTGATTCTTGTGATTCAGTCTGCTCGGGCAGTGTGGGCTCGTCGGAGTTTGGTACTGTAGGAGGTACGTCGGGGGCCTCGACGGGTTTCTCGGGCATTTCAATTGATTGAGTCGGCTCAGAGCCGAGTTCGGTGTCCGCCATGGTCAAGGAGACTCCGGGCGGAGTGATCTAATTAGATCAGAAACATCGAACGAGCAAACGTGGGGAAGCTTGAAGCAATCGCGATGACATGTAAGGACGGGGGCTGCGTGTCTTCTCCGAATCGGGACTAATGCATGCTTACCTCAGCCAAGGATTCCAGGTGTCAAGGTTGGCTGGAGCCGGAGATTCCACAGGCCCTCACCGGCTTTGTTTTACCCAGCAGAATGTTGATTGTCTGGTTCTGTAAACCTACATATGTATGCCTGGACATACTAACTATCCGTCTTTCACATGCATTATATACCATTTATAGTAAAAAAAATATAGCGGTATCCAACTCAGAATAACAGTGTCAGTAAAACTCTATTTTAAGTAAGTATTTCCTTAATCTAACTTGCTTTTAGATGCTTTCCAATGTTCTTCTTATGGGTATAGTAAAAGCGGTGAGGCACAAATTGGCCCATAAAAACAATAATACACGTACCCGGAGCTTGAGACCGTAAATTACAACACGTGACTATATCGGAAGAGGCCGCTGCCGCTCCTCTCACCGGGAGCCACAGGTAGCTCAACAGAAAAGTTCGTGATTTAGAGGCATCTCCTTCCACCCCAACCTTATCCATTCTCGGCCCTTCACGTTTCCTCTGTGCCGGGCTCTTTTTATTTCCTCATCTCAGCGTTAAGGGCCTTTATTCCTTTCTTTTTCATAATCACAACAAGTCTCCGGCACCATGGTTGCGTCAGCTATTCGGATGCGCACCCCGAGCGCCATGTTCATGTCCAGAGGCGCCGCCGCTATGCGCCGGCCCCAGGTCTCCTCTAAGCTCCAGGAGGTGATTCAGTGTGTTCCACTAATACCAATTGTGATTGCGGGTTGATGCTAATGATTTTTCCACTAGGACCCAGGTGCCTGCGCTCTCTGCCCTTTCCCGCTTCTACGCCTCGAAGTGTATGACAATTGATTTATTCCTTTCTCCCACATACCAATTCTAACATGTCTATCTATAGCTTTCCCTCCCCACACACTCATCAGCATGCCGGCTCTTTCGCCGACAATGACCGCTGGAAACATCGGTGTGTGGCAGAAGAATGCCGGAGATGCCCTTCAGCCCGGTGATGTCCTGGTAGAGATCGAAACCGACAAGGCACAGATGGATTTCGAGTTCCAGGATGAGGGTGTCCTCGCCAAGGTTCTCAAGGAGAGCGGCGAGAAGGATATCGCTGTTGGCCAGGTAAGAAATTTCCCGGTTTTCTCCGTGGGGAGTGATTCGTCAATCTAACTTGCTCTCTTGATATAGCCCATTGCCGTCCTTGTTGAGGATGCTGCCGATGTCTCCGCCTTCGAGTCTTTCACCCTGGCTGATGCCGGCGGTGATAAGCCTGCCCCCGCTGAGCAGAAGGAGGAGCCTAAGAGTGCTGAGCCCTCAGCCCCTGCCCCTGCTGAGGAGGCACCTGCCGCCCAAGAGCCTGAGACCTCGGGCGAGAAGCTCCAGCCCAGCCTTGACCGTGAGCCCTCTATCAGCCCCGCCGCTAAGGTCTTGGCCCTCGAGAAGGGTGTGTCCATCAAGGGCCTCAAGGGTACCGGTCGTGGTGGTGTCATCACCAAGGAGGACGTTGAGAAGGCCAAGCCCGCCACCACTGCTGCCTCTGCCTCTGCCGAGGCTTCCTTCGAGGAAATCCCCGTCAGCTCGATGCGCAAGACCATTGCCAACCGTCTGAAGCAGTCCATGGCCGAGAACCCCCACTACTTTGTCTCCACCACTCTCTCGGTTACCAAGCTTCTGAAGCTCCGCCAGGCCCTTAACGCTTCCGCTGAGGGTCAGTACAAGCTTTCCGTCAACGACTTCCTGGTTAAGGCCTGCGCTGTTGCCCTTCTGAAGGTCCCCCAGGTTAACTCCAGCTGGCGCGAGGAGAACGGCCAGGCCGTGATCCGTCAGCACAACACCGCTGACATCAGCGTCGCTGTGTCCACCCCCACCGGTCTGATCACCCCCGTTGTCAAGAACGTTCAGGGTCTCGGACTCTCCAGCATCTCCAAGCAGATCAAGGACCTTGGCAAGCGTGCTCGTGAGAACAAGCTTAAGCCCGAGGAGTACCAGGGCGGCACTTTCACCATCTCCAACATGGGCATGAACGCTGCTGTCGAGCGCTTCACCGCTGTCATCAACCCCCCGCAGGCCGGTATCCTGGCTGTTGGCACCACCCGCAAGGTCGCTGTTCCCGTCGAGACCGAGGAGGGCACCGTTACCGAGTGGGACGACCAGATCGTCGTGACTGGTAGCTTCGACCACAAGGTGGTTGACGGTGCCGTTGGTGGTGAATGGATCAAGGAGCTGAAGAAGGTCGTCGAGAACCCTCTGGAGCTTCTGCTGTAAACAGCAAAGCTCTTTTTGTTCTGACTTATCTGTAATCTGTATTAAAACACCTTGCCCTCCCCCATTAGACCGTTACATAGGTCCCATTTGTTTTTGATCTCTTTAGCAGCTTTAAATCCTCTCAATGGAATTTTCCTCGACTTATTCTACATCGGTTTTGATGTTTTTTTTTTTGGCAAAGTTGCTGAGAATGTCTGATCACGTAGGTGGCTGATGCCTCGGGTCAGGACCATTCCTAACGTCAGATAGACTAAATGGGTTATTGTTTGAACTAACTATTTCAATAGAAGAATATCTTAGAATATATTCAAGGTCCATATATATGCCTACATATGTAGGTACATGTTACTAGCATACAGGTATGAGATCAACATCTCTGCGGAAATTAACCCCATGGAACCTTGGTAGTGGGCCCAGGTCAATGACGTGATGTCACACCCCAGCTTCCTTGGTATAAATCCTGCCTTTTCCCCTCAAACTCCCTTCATTCCCACATCTGTTTCTTGTAAGTTTATACCTTCTGTTCTAGGTGTTCTACCTAGATATGTGTTTTAGGTACTGACCGGGATTTCCCTAGAACCGTTACCTTCTAATAACCTCACGCGCATCACCATGTCTTACGCCGACGCAGCTGCAAAGGGCCCCAAGCAGTCCCCCGAGGACGTAAGTATTCAAGTTCCCATGTCTAAATTACAGTACTAACGAGTCAAAGGCGTGAGTTGTCTATAGTATCAAATATCCCTTACGCACAACTAACATATACTCCAGCCGCGCTCCTCCTGTGGGCGGAATCTATCGCGATGAATCTGAGAGCACGGCCTCGTTGATCGACGTCGATAGCCCCCATGTGCAGACTGTGGAGTCCGACTTCCTCGAGCAAGATGTTCAAACCACCACCCAAGCGGAGCGGATAGAGCGCGAAGCCGAGGAGAAGGCGAAGCGCGAGGACGAGGAAAAGAAGAAGGCCAAGGCCCACAAGGTGAAGAGCAGTGGAATCTATGAGAACACTAGCAACCCTGTATTCCTTGCCAATGCCGCTATCGCAACTGTGGTCGGCGCAGGCCTCGGCTTCGGTGCCTACAAGCAACACGCGCGGGGCAACCTCTCCTGGGAGCTGGTAGGACTATCTGCCGGTGCTGTTGGAATCTTTGGTGCGGTGGACTACTTCGTGAGCAAGTAAGTTCTGAGTGTATTTCCGCAGTGATGAGTATGGCGATGATGCTAATCCATAGTCTAGGTGGTTCCTGCAGAACAAGTTCCCCCCCAAATAGATGTGCAGCGTTTCATCTCTTTCTTCCTGGTGTTGCCTAATTGCTTTATCTTGATATACCATTCCAGCTCTTCTGTGGTTTTGCATTTTGTTCATTTGGCGGAAATGGAGTCGGATTGGATCGACTGTACCAGTACCTTAAACGACGATATCATTTTCCATTCGAAGTTTTAGCAGTTGTAACTTATGACAGAGTATGGTTTCTTTAGCGATCACAACTTGTGTAGATAATCGAACTTGAGATACCTCGCAGAATCTAAAAATATCTCAAGGACTTGGAGATGTACGTTGTAACTACAGAGTATAGAATGCATTGTACCTGAAGGCGGTGAACTACGTCAGAATGGGCCCAAACAAGACCATCTGGCCTCGGGTTGGATCAGTTGATGACCACCTTGGGTGTTTGTGAGAAAAAAAAAAAGCCATTAGCTCAGGAGCTTGTTATATCTTACTCATCTTGTTACCATCCCTAGTGCTCCCCTTTCCACAACTTACCGAGTATCAAAGCAATCCAAATCTCCAATCTATACGAGGCATTCACAAAATGGTATATTGCACTTCCCCCGCGATAGGTTTACACAGCTGACATGAACAGAACTCGCTATTCAACTCTGCTTTAAAGCAATCATCGTCCATCCGCCGTGATCTGGACACCTTTTCACAGTCCCCAACCACTTCGTCACCCGCGTTACAAGGTGCGCTCCTACCACCAACTCTTTGCAACGCAATATATTGACTTCAAGCTCCTAGGCCAGCTGGCAGCTTCCTTGGCATCACTTTCCCGCACTGTCGATGACTACTCAGCGCTCTCCAAGAAGGAACTGATTCCCGAGAAACAACAAAAGGCATTCGACCGCATCAAGAACTTCCGAAGTGAGCTCGCAGACTACCGAACACAATTCGATCGACTCCGCAAAGAACGTGAGGATGCAGTATGTGGCCAACAACCCTTTCGTGAAGTATTTTCAATACTGACTCCATACCAGCAATCGGTTAGCAACCGCAATGAACTCCTAGGCCGTCGCCCACACCACGCCGCAACACCGGAGAACCCCTATGCGCAGTCCTCACTCCCACAGAGCACCTCCGCCTTTGCACCCTCGTCCTCCGGTCTCAGCTTTGGCGCTAGGCCGGCAGACTACAACCGCGAAACCAACGCGCTGCGCGAGCAATCCTTCTTCTCCAACACACACAACCAACTCGATGATTTCCTAGACCGAGGAAGAGCGGTCCTCGCCGACCTAGGGCAGCAGCGTGAGGTACTAAAGGGCACACAACGGCGACTGTACAGCGTTGCGAACACGCTTGGTGTGAGCGGCGATACAATCCGGATGGTGGAGCGGCGGGCGCGTCAGGATAAGTGGATTTTCTGGGGCGGAGTGGTGATTTTCTTCCTGTTCTGCTGGGCAGTGCTGCACTTCTTGCGGTAGGATTATATTGCTATGTGTTATTGATCTTTGCCTGGGTGGGTATACTTGGGAGCTGGCGAGGGTTCTCGGGGTTTACCTGGGTAGGGTGTGGTCTTGTATCTTGTATTGGGTTCATCAGCGTCGGCGTTTGGTCTTTGCAATTGATGTCCTTATTGCCAATCAAGTGTCTATGTTTAGCCGGGAGTGTGTTATTGTAAATGTATATATGTGTGTGTGTGTGTGTGCTCGTATATGCTAGGTGCAACTATGGTCCATCACTAGCTATTATTCCTTGAAATATACAAATATATTGCATGGGTCTGAATTTAGTTAGGAAATTCCTGATCACAAGGTCATTATCGACTACCTAGGTATACAATGTAAGCGTTGGGTGCAATTGGAGTGTCGATGACCTCGGGATACTATATGAGCATACATAGTAACTAATTTATAACTATACTTAGGTATTCCATAGTCACACCTTTCATTGCATATAATCTTCAGGCATTGTAGTTTTTGTCAATAGTTTCGTATTTCGTACTTTTGGCACATGAAAATAATTGCCTTGGCAAGATGATGCGATACCACATGCAGAAGTCCACTACATCCATTGCTCCGGGAACGGGATATAACCATTCTATACGGACTATACTATGTAGTATCGGTAGTATGGGAAGCAGATATTATTTAGATGGTTAAGACATTGATATTTCTTCTCACCTATAACAAACAAGAATTAAATAATTACTACATCTACATAATAGTCCACTAATAAAAAGAAGTAAAAGAGTAACCTCAGCCGAGCATCGGGAGCTCGGAAAGTGTTGTGTTTCCCAGGTGGAGCCCCCAGCCAATCTCTTTCACCGGAATCTCCTCCTTCCCCTTCAACTTTCTTCTTTCTCCTTCATATCTTCTCCAAATATCAATCATGTTTGCCGCTCGTCGTACTGTCAACCTTTTCCAGAAGCGTGCCTTCTCGGCCTCCGCTATCAATGTGCGTGTCTATTCCTTTCTACCTTCTAATTGAAAAGCTAACTCCTCGCGCAGGCCTCCAAGGTCGCCGTTCTCGGTGCTGCCGGTGGTATTGGCCAGCCTCTCTCCCTGCTGCTGAAGCTCAACCCCCGTGTTTCCGAGCTCGCTCTCTACGATATCCGTGGTGGACCCGGTATGAATGAATAGCTCGACTCAATTCAACACCTAAAAAAATACTGACCTTGATTTAGGTGTTGCTGCTGATTTGAGCCACATCAACACCAACAGCACTGTTACTGGCTACAACCCCGATGCTTCCGGTCTCCGTGACTGCCTCGAGGGTTCCGAGATCATCCTCATCCCCGCTGGTGTTCCCCGCAAGCCCGGTATGACCCGTGATGACCTCTTCAACACCAACGCCTCTATTGTCCGCGACCTCGCTAAGGCCGCCGCTGAGGCCGCCCCCAAGGCCCACGTCCTGGTCATCGCCAACCCCGTAAGTCGCAAAAATCACAATCGCCTCAACAATTACGTGCCCTTGCTAACCATCCATCATTAAAGGTCAACTCTACCGTCCCCATCGTCGCCGAGGTCTACAAGGCCCGCAACGTCTACGACCCCAAGCGTCTGTTCGGTGTCACCACCCTTGACGTCGTCCGTGCCTCGCGCTTCATCTCGCAGGTCCAGAACACCAACCCCTCCGGCGAGGCTGTCCCCGTCGTTGGTGGTCACTCCGGTGTGACCATCGTTCCCCTGCTTTCGCAGTCCAACCACTCCTCCATCGCCGGCGAGGCCCGCGATGCCCTTGTCAACCGCATCCAGTTCGGTGGTGACGAGGTTGTCAAGGCCAAGGATGGTGCCGGTTCCGCCACCCTCTCCATGGCCATGGCCGGTGCCCGTTTCGCCGAGTCTCTCCTCCGCGCCGCCCAGGGCGAGAAGGGTGTCATTGAGCCCACCTTCGTCGACTCCCCTCTGTACAAGGACCAGGGTATCGACTTCTTCGCTTCCCGCGTCGAGCTCGGCCCCAACGGTGTTGAGCAGATCCACTCCGTTGGTGAGATCAACGAGTACGAGCAGGGTCTCCTCGATGCCTGCCTGGCTGACCTGAAGAAGAACATCCAGAAGGGTGTTGACTTCGTCAAGGCCAACCCTTGAAAAGTTCCCTGTACAACCATCTATATCTCGTCGTGACTTTTGTTTTTGTAATAATGAAAGTGTATGACAATGTTCTTTTACTAGATCGATAATCCATTTTAATCCATAAATCGGTCTATACTACGATCCTCAACTTGTAGCTTGACCCGGTTTTCGAGCTAGATGCATGTATTGAAGCTAGCTAAATTCATTTCGCTCCATGTCCGCAATGCAAAAAAAAACAAAAACAAAACAAAACAAAACAAAAAGCAAGACGTCGGAACGGAATACTCTCCACCTGAGATGAACCGAAAACAGTAAGAAAACACAAAAAGACAAAACCAAATAGTGAGCTGAATACCAAACCTGCACCGATATCCATATTAAGCACCCAAATTCCCCGAGATGATTGGAAATAATCAAGAATATATCAAGTATAGCTTCGCATGGCGTCTAGATATCCCGTTCCACCGCGCAGGTCTTGATCGAACGTCTCAGCCACCTCTAGCACGCTCTTGATATGCTCCATGGAGAGGGGTGCGTTCTCATTGACAGCCAGGGCTTGTGCGGTGCGGACGGAGTTTTTAATCTGATGGTAAATCGGTTAGTTTGTGGACCCGAAGGGAAGTATAGGGTGATACGAAAGAAAGAGAAAACCCAGTAAACATACCTGTCGCCCGTTCAGCGTGTGCCTGGAGAGCACATCGTAATCTTCCTCAGTGAAAGAAGCAATATGTACACCCTCAATAGCGCGCACGCGCTCTAAGAACATCTTCCAAATACTCCTCTTCGCCTTGGAAGTCAGATCACCATAGCGCAAGGCGACATGGATACGCGACTGGAAGGCATCGTCGAAGGTCTCAACACGGTTGGTAGTCAAGAACAGAATGCCCTGGAAGTACTCCAGTAGACGGAGGAAGATGCTGACAAGGGCATTACGGTGGATATCATGGATAGTGCGCTTCTCAAGGAAAACATCTGCCTCATCGAGGAGGAGCACTGCGCCCCAAGAGTGCGCGATATCCAGGATCTTGTTCAGCTCGGCCTCCAGGGTCCGTGAGTCAGTACCCAGTTCGCCAGCGCTGACCATATACAGCGGGCGACGGAGTAGCTCGGCGATGCCCTCTGCCGTCAGAGTCTTACCCGTACCGGGCGGACCATGCAACACGGCAACAAGGCCCTTACCCTTGCCCTGGATGACATCGTCGATGTTCTGGGCGGCGTGGAAGGTATGCGACTCGACGAGGGCCTTAACGATGGACTTTTGATTTGACGGGAGGACAAGCGAGCCAAAGGCTTCCTTATCCCACTCGATTTCGCTGATGCCGGAGATAGTGAACTCAAGCCAGAGCTTCTCGCTGAAGGCAAAGCCGAGAACGACAGGAGAAGCAACGAGCAGCTCCTCCTCGGTGAACTCGCGCTCCTTGGTATCAGCAGCAGCACCTTCAATGCGGTCCATCTTCTCCTTCTGGATCTCAGCGCCGTTCTCATCGACTTCGACCTCCACGACGCGCGGACATCCATCTGTATCCTCAACGACCTTGTACATCGTCCGTGGGGTATCAGAGGCACCGCCATGCTCGGAGTCCGAGTCTGACCCGCCACAGCAGCAGCCATCGCTATCATCACCCTCGTCACCACTGACCCCAAGATCTTCGGGATCAATCAGATCCGGATCCTTGGGTCGGACAGTGGAGATGGGATAATTAGGGTTGATGCGACGGTGGATAGCCGGGTCGATCATGACGCGGCCATTGATATTGACCTTGATGATGAGGGAGCGCTTTTTCTTGTAGAAGGCCATACCTTTGTGGAAGCGGTAGTTCATACCACGGAGGGAGACGAAGCGCTTGCCGCGTTCGACGAGACGGGCACGCAGACCCTCAGCGTCACGGTGGTACTTTAGTGGGTAACAGGCGAGACTGGTGATCTTGCGAGCGCCCTTGAAGGCGTCGACTTCAGCGGACATAGTGCCGAAGCCGTAATCTTTGCCGTCGTACTCGAGGTAGCGGCCATCGACACTGTACCACTGGCCCTTCATGAAGGAGGACTCTTTGACGGCGTACTCGATCTTGAAAGCACGTGGTTCATCCGTGCTGCCGTAGGTCGGGGTGTAAGCGATGGTATTGGGCTTGTAGAGAGCCCACAGCAGGTCGAAGGTGATAGTGTTGGCCTCGAGCAGCGGGTAGAGAGTCTTTTTGATGTCTGCATAGTCGGTGTCAAGGTATTTGATGAGAACCTTCAGATGGGCAGCTTTGACGGCGGCAGCCTTTCTTGTTTTTTTCTTCTTCTCGCTGCGTGACTGCTTCTTCAGGTCCTTCATGTACTGCCTTGTTTCCTCCAGATACAGGAACAACATGTTGGGATCGACGACGGCGGGCTCTTGCACGAGACTGACGCCCTTGACACCATCCATGATCTTGGAGAGGGCATCGCGGAGAGGTTTGCTCTTGATATCGACGACAGTCTCGAGGTACTTGTTCTCCCAGTTAAACTTGCGACGGATGTTGAAAATATACTGATCCCATTCGTCCGCATCGGGGTCATCCACGGTCTCAGTGAGCTTGTACTTGTGGATAGTGGTATCCCATACTATATGAATGGTCAGTCAACGAAAACTCAAGGCATGAGATTGAAGAAAAATGGAAACTTACATTGATCTACACGCTTATAGGCCACCTTGGAAGCGGGCTTCTTCTTCTTCGACCGCTTCTCGCGGCGAGTTTCGCCCACGGAATCGCTGGCGGCCAAATCATCCGCAGCCAATTCACGCAGCTTCTTGGCTCTCTTTTTGCTCAGTTTGAGCTTTGAGACTAGTTTCCGCAAGGCCTTGTCATCTATTTCGCCATCGGAGTCCGTGGAAGACTCCGAATCTGACTCCGAGGGGGAGTCAGATTCCGAATCCGATGCCTCGGCCTTGCGCGACCGTTGCTTCTTCTTCTTGCGACGTTTCTTGTCCTTGAGTGCACGTCTCGCACGTGCCTTTCGTACTCGATGTCGCTTGCGCTTCTCAGTATCAGAGTCGCTCTCTGTGGAATCGGATTCTTCCTCAGAGTCGGCATCGCTGTCAGAATCCGAAGAAGAAGAAGAAGAATCCGAGGAGCTGTCACTTTCATCTTTTTTCTTATTCTTCTTTTTGTGTTTTTTGCACAGTTTGGGGGCAGAGGCTGGGGTAGTTTCGGGTGCGGGGGCGACAGCAGCGTCTTTCACTTCTTTGACTTCTGTAGACTGGGCAGAGCCATTCAGATTCTCTGATGGAGCAACTTCATCTTTGGCCTCGGCCGGGGTAGAAGTGGGATCCATGATAGCTCAGGTGAGCCGCAAGCTGTGGAGCTGTGGAGCTGTGGAGCTGTGGAGCTGTAAGCTGTAAGCCGTAAGCCGGGGAAGTTGGGAGATTTCAACCAAGGGGGAACAAATCAAGAAAAAAAAAAAAAAAAAGGGGGGCGAAGAATAGAGAAAAGAAAGAAGAGAGAAGAGAGAAGAGAAATACAAAGAAGAAAGAGAATGGCGCTGTGGGTGAGACGCATTTTATGTGAAAGGAGAGGCATCAGGCATCTTACGCAGGCTGCAGCCCTGAAGCCAATCAGTTGACCCCACGAATTGATGTGCTGGTCTGCCTATGGGAAATATACGGTGTGTACGAAGTACTCCGTACACTGATTATTATTATACGGGTATTTGTTTCTTGGCCCATTAAGCGCCAACGTTGGCTATTAACTACATAGTTATGTAGTCTAGATTGTAAAACATCATAGAAGGCATATGCCTGTGATACCAGTATGTTAAAGAAATGTCTGAGTCCTAGGTATATACTCTATATTAAATGAAATGTTCAAAATAAAGTGATGGGATTAAAATCAATATTATACATATGTACTAGGTATATGTACTATAGGTACTATAGGTTACTCGTAATACTCTAATATACTCATCAACTTGGAAGTCGAGACCGAATATCAAGATCAAATATCACTACCATATACTTTAACATATACTTCAATCACCCAGATGTTCTGCTCTTTTACTAATAGTTAGACAAGGAATGTATGCAATTATAATCTAATTATTTCATAGTGTTCACTCCATGTATACATAGTAGAGAGCAGTAAAGGAATCAATATATCTAGATCCTAAGCTACTGCGAGCTAGAGCTAGCTATAAGATAGCTATAAGATAGCAGCCATAAGCTGGGTCCTAAGCTAGGTATTAATGTATTCATATATCAATACCCAGGAGTGCCTACCTAGGTAGATGGATAAATCACGACTAATCGCTTACCTCGTCGACGGGATAGAGAAGCACTTAAAAGGTTAGCTCACAATGTAGATTATGTCGTAGATAGGGACATATAAAAAATACATGTTCTCGCAGAATGATCTTAACCATGTCCATCCCCTTGAATTTATTAAATTTGACAAAATGGAACGTGACAGAACAGTTAGGGATCTGTTCCCTGCCCTAGTTGTGCAATTGGAACGAGAAACCAGTGAAACTCCATCAGTTGAGTCCAATGAATCTGCTGTTTCGTTTGTGCATGACAGCCCTACACCACGGGCCAAAGCACTACAGGATTCTGTTACTGCCCAGGGCTCTGCCTCTGCTGCGTTCCAGCATTCTGATGCTCCCAGATTTGACATTGCTCCATCTGCCACAACTCAGTACACTTCTGTAAGTTTTGATCTTCCCAGTCTTTTAGTTCAAACACTAACCTTTCTTCTTGCAAGCTCCCTCTCTCTCTTCCACTAACCACCGACGGCCACGAGTCTGAGGGTGATCCTACTTCGTCAGTGTCTCGTGTACCTCGTGTGCCTCACCCACTTTCTCTTCCGTCCAATTTGGACAACAAAGCTTCAAATCCTCCTAATTTGTCTTCCGAGTCTCCTCGACAGGGTACCAGTTCTCGTTGGACAACTACCCAAGTTCCAAGTACTCCTGTTGGAGGGGATTCTGAGGAACATTTCCCTACAGCGAGTCTTACTGTTTCTTCTCGTGGTAAGCCCCCGTTCTTCTATCCCAACTCGCGATTGTCAGAGCACTAATACAGGTTCTATCAATGCAGATAAACGTGTTACGAACGTGGCTCCCAGTGCCACTTTTAGATTGAAACTTCTTGTCAAAGAACCTCCCAAGGACTCTACCCCAGAGTCGCATACCACTTCAGAGTCCACGGATGCATGTGAATCCACCAAGAACGTGATCCCCACTGCCACTCCTAGATTAAAGCTCTTTTACAAACCGAAGTCTCGCCTGTCCATCCGGGACTCTATTCCCTCAACTGTTCCATCCGACCCCGTTAGCAGCAAGCATCTTTCGTCCCCTACCCGCACTGGATATCAATCATCCAATATGGATCCTTCCAACCATAGTGCTGAAAGCACCTCTCATGAGTCTTCTTCTGACTGCGAGGCATCGACTACCATAAATGCTACTTCGGAGCTCCCCGCTACCAGCGAGTCTCCCAAGCCCAGCTCAAGCTCTGACGAAGCTCCGTCCCGCAACGCTGACTACCTGTCTCCATTGGATTTTGTCTCTTCTGCTCCCCCAAACCGTGCAATGAACCTTTCACTCGATCCATCCATGGATCCTTCAATGGACCCTTATATGGATCCCTACCAGCCAAGTGATTCAGCAGTTATGCCAGGGATTACCCCGTTCGAAGACCCAAATGTCCTCCCATCCACATTCACGTACCCCGAGGAGACTCCTGACTACGGCAGTGTGCCCATTGACCCCATGGGTGTGTACACTCCGGAGCAGTATGCACGCATCCTGGCGTCCGAGCAGGAGGTCCTGCGTGAAATTGCTGACCCCCATACCGATACTCCAACGTATGTGTATGGCCAGAGAATAGAGCCGCATTACACCACACTTGCCGATCTGGACCGTATCTTTGCTGAGATGGAAGCTGCCTCTACTAGTTTAGATATTCTACAGCCTGAATATTGGGCAGCTATCGGCCGCGATCTGCCTGGTCCATCTCAACCGGGTGTACTTGAGTCTAATCAACCCGCCCATGTTCAATCAACATCTGAGACCTTGCAGTTAGTGGAGGACGCGGAAGCAGAACCAGGTTCGGCCAAAAAGCGTGCTCGACACAGTTCACCCAAAGTAGAGAACTTGACCCCAGAGTTATCAACCACAATTTCAGCCAGGACTTCCGTCTCGGACCAGCGCCGCAGCACCTCATCTAATACCAAGACCGCGAGTCCTTCACCTGCATCAATCTCAAGACGCCGTCATTCCAATAAACAGGCCGCGACACCACCTCCACCGATTTCAGCATCATCTGGACGCCGGTCCAAACCCAAGGCAAAGACCGAGATCACTACTTCAGAGGCCCCGATGACCGTCTCCCCACGCCGTCTGCGCAGCTCAGATGTCATGCCGAGCTCCAGCACGAAGAAGAATGTCAAGGGCAACGCAACACCAGAGTCATGGGAGACAGCGCCTACCGCAGACAAGATGATGTCACAAATGAAAGAGTCGTTACTGCCGTGGGCGGACATCACTGCAGCATGGAATGAGAATCGAGATGAGTCGGATGGCGAAATGACATGGCGAGCACTGAGCAAGCGATGGGGACGAATCAAGGATAGAATTGGTCCCTGGCCCGGTTTTGACGTGTGTATTCACCTGACTCTTTGATCTCCCCAATCTCAAATGTCCTTTGGGGTTCTGGTTTGGGGGTGGATACTTGTTTCATTGATCCGAGTAACTAACTTTTGAATAGGAGGCTCTTCTGGATACCTTGGGAGCATTCGATCCGAAGCTGGATGACGACGACTTTGCGCAGATTGCTGAAGAAGTGTCGAGTGGGCTTGGCTGGGAAGTTTCTAGCGCGGCTTGCTCTGCTCGATATGTGACCCTCAAGGAGTCTGGCAAGATCAATGTGAAGGGTAAGGGGAGGGCACGGAAGTAATCCGTTGTCCTTGAATTTGAGTTATTTGAGATGAATGGTGAGGTGAGATGTCATTCTCTTCTGGTGGAGGTGGATGTGGATATGCCATATCGAAGATTTTACCCAGTGGCTAGTTGGCCGGGCCCTGGGTGCCATATGCGACAACTGACTGTTCGATTTACTGTTGGATATGACTTCAGATTTAAGTCAAAAGGACAAAAAAAAAAGGAAAACACAAAACGGCCAAAAAAAAGTTAACCTTAAGTACAAATCAAACCCCCCAAAAAATTGTACGATTTACACCATTCCCCTGCAGTGAAAAGTAAAATGGCATCGTAGATGAGATTGTTGTATAATACTCGACAATGCCCGAGATAGGGATATCAATTCCTTTAAAAATAAACAGAAACGCCCCTTTATTGCCAAGGTACCCGCCCGCCGTCATACAGTCATAACGAGTAGCTAGAAGAAAACACACAAAGCTAGAGAACACTCAGTTCCCGTCGACCACCACTAGGCACACTCATGCCGGGCCCCGGGACATTGGAACTCCATTCTGACGAGGACGAGTCACCTCGGCCCCGGGATCCACCTGTACTGGTACTTGCACCGATGCTGATACCAGCTGTAGTGAGGGAATCTGCATCATCGATCACAGGAGGACCGCCGACCATCACAGGTCGGATCTTGGCGCCGACAAAACCACGACGGTCACGGCCTGTGCGGCCACGGCCGAGCCAGTTGTGTTTGAGAGCTTTGCTAAGCACCTCGATTCGCTCCTGGGCAGGGTCGTCTGTTTGCACGCTGGCTAGGACACTAATGCATTGCAGCATGCGGCCGACGGTCTCTGTGATAACATGAGAGGAGTCGGTGGAGCTGCCGCGGTGGATGATGGTGGGCCCGGGCCGTTTGTTAGAGGTTGGAGGCGATGCGATAGACTGGAAGAAGAGGGGATCTGCGTTGGAAGATGTGTTCGAGGTAGCACGACTGCGGGAGTCACTACTGTTTGGACGTGGGTGGTTGGCCAAGGCGCTAATACCGTCGGAGGAATAGCTGTCGGCGGCGTTGCTGAGAAGTGTGGATGACTGCGAGTTGTAGCTACCGAAGCCGGCATCTAGTGACGCTGCAGTGCCAGGACGGCCTCCAGTGCCGGTACTCTTGGCGGTGACGCTGAGCGTTGGGAATCCGGAGTTGATGGAGTCCAGGCTGAGCCGGGAGAAGGTTGCTTTGAGAGCATCGTAGCGATTCAGGATCATGCAGTCACGGAAGGCTCTTAAGACTAGGCTTCGTACATCGAGTGTCCCACCAACAGGCAGTGCACCCCAGAACTCACGGGCTTCTCGGCTAGTCATCAAGGATCCACAACCCTTGAACTCGAGATCCAAGGGGAGAAATACAGCCTGGATGAAGGGCAGAATCGTGCCAAACACCAGCAGCCACACTTGAACCAGATGCGGGACCAGCTTTTCATCTGGGAGGCCAATCAGCGAACTGTGATTCAGAGTCGCAAATCCAGTCTCTAGAAGTTCTTGCAAGTCCATCACAATAGACGTGGGAGCCCTCTTGACGACACAACGCTGCAAATGAACGAGCACCAGCTTGTTGAGATCTTCAATGGCAATCCGCACGTCTTCACCGTCGAAGATGACCAGCAGCTTCGCTTTAAGGAAGTCCCACGCATCCTCTGGAGTCATGTTATTCAACCCAAACCCTTGCAAGGTCTCCCGTAGAATAGAGTCGGGGAATGTCCCCGAACTACCAACTGAAGACGGGCCTGGGAAGCCACCGGGTGGCGTGGGTCCGCCAGCATTATTGGCCAGCCATTCCATCTGCTCCGACTCAGCGAGCGCCTTCTCCTCCTTTTTCTTCTCACGTAGTGCTCGACCGCCATGCAGGAGATCCAACCCACTGACCGACTTGCCAAACGTCGCTCCAGGAGCCGGAGACGCAGGTGTAAATGAGTATAAAGATTGTGGAGCATTGGGGTCCGCTGGACGAGAATTACTCGAAGCTGATGATAGAGGGAGGTTGAAGTGGTCTTCGACCCGATCTTTTAATTTGAGCTTCTGCCTCGACAGGAAATGATGCTTGTGCTTGTCTTTGTCCTTATCCTTTTCCTTCTCCGGGAGCGGCGGACGATCTGCGGGGACGACTGTGCTCACGGAGGCGTTGGAGAGATTGTACATCGACGAGTTGTTTGAGGACAGGTCGGCCAAGTTTGTAGTTGAGCCGCTGACCATGCGCGATAATCCACTGATCTTGCTTGGAGAGGGAAGTCCACGGTCTTTGCCCAGATCTTTATGACTGCTGATTCCGATGTGTTTTGGCTTTGAGAAGAGCTTCTTCTTCTTCTGTTTCTCAGGCTGTTGTTCTACCGGTGGAGCACCGGCTCGCGGGAAGACCACATTCGCAGCTGTCGTGGCCACATTCCCTGACGGCGGAGGCGGTTGTGGGGAGGGTTGATTGAGACGTAATGGAGCAGGCATGAGAGGAGGTGAGCTGCTTCCACTGCGCCTGGGACGAGGGCCATCCTCTACCGGGGGTATAGTATTCTGTTGCCTCTTTGTCTGCTGCATTGCTGCCTGTGCGGCGATACGGGATGCTGACACGGTAGGGACCTGGTCTGAGGAGGCGGTCGGCAGAGAAGGCTCAAAGAAACCCTGCGAGTGATGCCGTGATCGGTGCCGGGGTAGCTCGACTGAAGGACCCCGGCCGGAGGGCCCTTCGGGCTGTTGGGTTCGGCATAGGGTGATGAGGTGAAGTGGCCGATCGTGGTTGTGGAGGGAAGTAACCCCCGGGGGGTAGTTGAGTATTGATCGGAGTGATAGGAGCGGCGGAAACGGTGGTCACATTAGAAGAGGCGTCACTACCGGAGGATCCGGGGCGAACCAATTCGTCTTCATCGGAGTCGTCTTCCTCTTCGTCATCAGACGGAGGTCGGGGGTATCGAGGGGCAGGAGGTACTTGACGCCCAGGCGAGTTGGGGGATCGGAAGGTGGGATTCATAACGAATAATCCATGCTCTCTCTCTGTGTCTCTTTTAGGCGAGTTATCTTTCAAGGATTTTTCCTTACAACGTTACAAAGGCCACATCTGGGCAGTTTGCCGATCCTTTCCTCTACCTCTATCTGGCAGAATCTCAGATCGACGAAAGATGCGGAGACTTGGCTAAGCTTTGATATGATCTGAACTCAGCGGAGTTTATAGCTTTGCAAGTTATATTTGTCGGTTCATTTTACTGCTTTACATCGTCCTTTGCACCTGTATTGGTCTATGTTGTATCCAACAGATTCCCTCTTGTCCATATTTCCACAACTTACGAGTGTTCTATGCAGGCTGCATAGACTAGGTATTACTGCCTTACTAGAACCCAACAGAGATTAGTCTCGGCAATGCTACCGTATGATCATCAAAGTACCATCAAGTAATATATAATTTTGGTATTCAGCCGTACCTGGACCCTGGAGTCCTCTGGGGAACAAATGCCAAGTCCCGAGGTCGGCCGTGAGGCTTAGATCAGCGGAGAGGCGGTAAGAAAGGCGGTAGCATAGCTGGGGACATTATTCTCTGCCAACTCCCCCTCCTTCGCCAACAATTTCCTCAACTTCCTTGTCTCATTTCAAAATGGCCTCCAATATGAGCTTGAATGCAGTCTACACCTCCCCCCAGTCCACTGAGACCTTCGAGCATGTGATCTCAACCACAACCGGCACACTAGCGGACAAGCAAGCCCACTTATCAGCGCTGCAGTCGCTCGTACCCAAGCTGCAGGACCAGATCAACGCCTTCCTTACGGAGCGCATGGAAGAGGACAAGCAGGTGCAGGGTCAGATCTCAGCACAGGAAGCTAAAGAGGAGGAAAATTACGGAGAGGAGGTGGTTGAGGACGATGCATGATCGCATGACCAGGATGTATCTTGAAATGGGCAGATGCTATGGGTATCAAAGTCGCTGGGATAGCCTCCGTCGACACAAACAAACCAAATGAAAAAGAGAAACTGGAGCCGGAAAAAAAAAGACAAAAAGAAAACCAAGGATATGAAGAAGAGCAAGCACAAGACCGACCCCGCGAATGCAGATGCAGGAGAGCAAGCACATTACCCAGCTCGAACACTGGCTTTTCGATTGGCACACCCCAAGTGGACCACGGTATCACTGGAGACAAGTCAGCAATGAACAGACCAAAAAGACAAAGGACTGAAAACAACTTACTCGGGGAAAACATTGATCACACTCCCACCCAAACGCTTATGGCAGACGCCACAAATTCGCTCCTCGGTGACAGTGACGTGGCGAGCCCGCGTACCTCCACCACGAATTCCCTCTCCAAGAGCGAGCTGGGCTTGGATCTGCATATCCCGTGCCTTGCGCAGGTTTGCCACGATGCGCGCTTCATTGAAAACCGAGTTTGCAGCGCGCATGCGGCCCTTGAAATAGAATTCAAGTTTCTGCACAGCCTGTGTGTCCGGAATGAGTTTCAATGCGGCGTCGGCTGGGAGGCGTGAGCCGTGCTTGGCTAGCAGGTCAATCGCGGGGTCGTTTTGGGGCTCATAGCCGTGGGGCGGGGAGAGATAGAGGGAAAGAAGGGTGAGGTAGATGGAATTCTCTTCTTCGGCCTTTTCGGCGAGGTGGACCTGATTACAGTATCTTTCTAGTGTTAACAATTGTTGCTCTTGGAGAAATGATATATCACTCACTCTTCCGCTTTCTCGTGGTCCTCAAGTTTGAAGACGTAGATCTCGAGCGCCTGTCGGTGCTGGCCCATCTTGCTAAATAGGATAGCTCGGGCTTCGTAGAAGTTGGGATCTGAGATATGTCAGTGATGGCTTGTTTCACAGATGTAGCGGGTAACATACCTTCTCGATCGAGCCGATCTAACATCTTCGCTGGCGAGTATTGCTCGCTTTCTTTCAACATCGTCAAGAACTTCTCCTTCCATTCTCCTTGCCCATTGTTGGATGTGAGTTGATCTAAATATAAGATGAGCAGCCGCTGGTGTATATCCGGCGTCATGTCGTTCCATTCATTAATGACATGCTCGAGGTATTGAATGGCAAGCGTGGTGTCTATTTTTTCGAGGAATGCGAGAACTCGTGGACGGGGCAATGTCTCAGCATTTTCAGTGTCGGTCAAGAATATCTCCATGCCCAACTCGCGATTGGCACGAAGCGGCCATTCTCCGAACTCGAGAACCAGGTCAATTTGGTCTGGCGGTAGATTTTGAAGGTACGCGACTGTGCGTGTCGGCCCGCTCAGAGGACCGTTATCTGTCTGTCCAAAGCGCTGGAGCAATTCAAGTGCTTGGCGGTGCAATTTCTTGCCATAAAGAAAATCGATTAGGTCGTTATATCTACCAGTCTCCTCGAGTCTCTCCATGACTACTTCTGGGTCACAGAAGTTGGCAATGCGGAAGAGGGATCCAGCTAGTGATGGCGTCGCGAACATGTGTGCACGGAACAAGGTGGTGTCAACCAGCCGTGCCTTGGCACAAATTTGCGTAGCAAACTCGTCGGGAGAGGGGAAATCCAGCAGCTTAAGAACCGAGTCACTTGCTTCATCTGTGGCTTCGACTGGTGCTGCAGCTTTGAGAGATCCATCGGGGTTGAGGAAACGCTGGAAGCGTCGGCGAACATCTGCGAGGTATCCTTGTAGCTCGCGGACAGCAATCCGAAGACCTATGATTAGTTAGCATGGATTCAAAAGCAAGCTGAGCTTGACGTACCTTTGTCATCTCCGCGGGTACTGCTAGCGTCGCTTCCTTCATCAGGCTTTCGCACAGATGATATAATAGAGGCTGCTTGTGTGGATGTCTGTCCAGCAGCAACATCATCGGACGATCCATCACTCTGGGACCCATTCGCCTTTCCATTCGGAGCTTCAGGCTCCGGAACCGTAGAAAGATCGCCTGCAATCAAGCGAGGGTATAGGCGAATGACACTCTCAGGGGGTGCAGAAACCTCAGTAAAAAGATCCAAAGATTCCCGGTACTTGTTCAAGGCAAACAGGCTCTGCGCTTTTTCAAGTCTTGTCGCACGTAGTCGACCAGGCTTATCCCGTAAAAGAGCATCCTCCAGCATGCCGAGTAAGCTAATGGCCTCATCGAGATAACCACCATCAACCAATGCATCAATCTGGGTATCATAGCTCAAAGCTTCCATGCGCCAGATGGTGCGCTCACTCGCCACAAGGAATCCTTTACCAGCATGAGCGAGGCTGATATTCGGCTGGGGAATGTGCAAGATACTAGCTGACGGCAATGGAATAGACTGGAGTAGCGACAAGGTCTCCGGGTTCCGTACTTCCAACACACCCTTCGATGAGTCGTGCAAGGCTAACAAAAACGGGTACGAGTATCCAAGCTCTACCGGGGCATGGCTCCAAGGCACCTGCTTCCGACCGAGAGGCTGGCCATCAACATCAATGAAATTCGTGTTGATATCCTTGGCCAAAAGAATCTGGCCTTCACGCAGTCTCGTCACCAGCGGTCGCGGCACCATGCCTCCCATGCCAATATAGCTCATGCTCGCGGCACCAACACCTGTGAACCGGCCCGATTCCTCAATGCTACCCGGCCCAGCCAGGTCCGTGAACTGTCCACTCTCAATGTTGACCATGACAAAGCTCGAGTTCAGGCCGACCACTAGCCGTGTAGCCGCAACCCAGGTGAGAGTCTTGACCCCACTAACTAAGCTCAGCTCAGCAGTATCCCGTTCCAGCTCCATGTCCCGCCACGCCCACATAAGAATCTTCCGCTTGACAGCAACTGCCAAGCGGGAAACAATAGCGGGCACATTTGTATCGACATCATTGACCACATTCGACGTAATGGCAAAGACAGAGGCGCCCTTTGTTTGAGATAGCTGTTCAACAAGCTCGTAGGATTGGGCATCGTGGAGCGAGACATAACCACCAGAAAGAGAAACCAGCACATTGGCCTCCTTAATCAAGGCGAGCTGCTCAATCTTGTATCGGGAGAATTTCTCCAATTCGCGGAGGAGCTCGGTCTTGCCGTCGTCGGTGACGCGGTAGATGCGGAGGTTGCCATTGTTGAGGCCAGCGAGGAGGCGGTCACCGTAAGCTAGAACCGAGTCGATGCGGGACTTGTCGCGCGGCTTGAGCTCCACGAGCGGCCGCGCAGTAAATGCTGACAACATGGGCGTGCTGTCTTCAATTCCTTCCGCTGGAGGTTCGAGGGGCGCTGCTACTGGAGCTCTCCGCATGACGTCCGGAGCTGAGTCAGTTCTGAGTCAGCATATATCTGGTTGGGCTGGGCCCTGGAGGCAACTAGAATGAGATCTTGGCTTCTCTTGTCGGTTCATATCAGTTTTCTATGTGTGAAATCAAATGTAGCTGTTCGCTCAAATTGGGCTGTAACTGAGAAAGAAGATATCACTATGATGTTTTAGAGGTGTCTAACCATGCCCCTTCTCTATCGAAATGAACTTCAATTTTCCAATGAGGCATGAGTATTACGATAGACCGGCGACGAACACGACTTGAAGAATATATTTAAAATATGTAACGTATAATAAAAGAAAACCCATATTTTTTGGTATCTGAATATCTCATGCAGTCCGAATTCCCATCACATCCAGGTGACGCCACGCCGATGCAGATCAACACATCCCTAATGCTTGGTTTCAGTGCCCTCTTTCTTTTCTCCCTCGGTAGGGAAATCTTGGTGCCTCGCTGATGATCCCTTCCCACGCCAGGTCGACACAGCGGGGATATCAGCCTTGAAGCGCTGCTCTTCGGTACCGTAAGCGCGGGGAGTGAGTTTGATAAGAGTATGCAAAGGCACCTCCATCCAAGGACTCTGCTCCTGGGGTATATTCATAAAGTATGCGTAGATGCAGCGAAGAACAGCCTGGTGGGTGACAATAATCACATTCTCACTGCGCTCAAGCTCCATGATGATGGGCTCAAGGCGGATGACGACGTCGCGGTAGGACTCGCCACCGCGGTAGCGGTAGTTGTACTTGTCTTCATCACGGGCAGCGAAATCC